GAGAACGTCATAATATCCAATGCATCTAACTTTTGAGAAATACCATAGAATAGTACATTTTTAAAATTTTGTTCCAAACATATGACCACAAAGTTTTTAATTATAACATAAATACCATGTGAAAATTACTTTGATTGTGTCAAATACATTACAAGCAAAATTGAAACATTATATATTTTTTTTAGTGTTTATATTTTTTCCATGAGTCATTTTTATATTAAACCTGAGTTATTTTTGGAAATCTAAAATTAGTGGTGGTATTTTTGAAAAAAAAAATGAAAATTTAAATCGTGACTTTTATAATGCTATTTGAAGTTGGGTTGGAAGCAAAATACTGGACATGAAAGTTTGTATATTCGTGATTTATGGATGGCATGTATGAACATCTCGTTTAATTTTAAAACAAAAATAACCAAAGCCAAGACAAGGTATTGGTTTTGGATCATAGTTCAACACACACGAAATCACACATTTAGAAACAAATAAGGCGACATTTCTTTTTATTCTTAACATTTTTGGTACAAGTGTTTTGAAAACACACACAGAAAGCTTAAGGTCTAGAACAATAGAAAGAACAAAAAATATTATCTTCACTCTTGAAGACCAAGGGTTTTATGCAACGAACAGCACAATCATCACAAAATGGTCGAGGGTTACCATTGAGAGCAATTTCAATCTCCTTGCCTTCCACTGTGCAAATATGGTTGGGCTTCATGTAGGGATCTTTTCCAAGTAAACATTTACGATGAAGAGTGACTCTACAATGGTTGCATGTATAGAACCATTCACTTGCATCTAATGTTGACTCACATATCTCACACCAATATTGTAGATTTGCTGCATCTTCTTCTCCGTAACAAAGGGTGAGTGGATGCCTATCGTGCTTGTAGTGTGCCAGACGAGGTAAAGCAGCACATGCAATGCACAGATTAAATTTGCATTGCATACATTGTGGAACATATGTTGATCCATATAATATTTTCTTGCAACCCATGCATTCATCATATCTATCATGATGATCGATCCGATTGAAAAAAAGTGGGTGATCATGTAGATGGCAATCATGGATAAATGGATCGGTAAGGGAAGCGCACCTTGTGTCTAGTTGAAACTTACAATCTTTTTCACTGCATATGTACACGAAACCACAACTGTGTCTGGAACAACCATTGCACCGGAAGGTGCCTTTATTTTTGAATTTTTCAAACAAGAGGTCGTAGGGCTTGGGAGGGTATAGGGGAAGGAGGATAAGAGGGTGTTTGTGTAGTGGATGATGTTTTCTGCGAGGTAAGCATGCGCATGCTTCGTCGAGGACGAAATCACATTGCATACAACTATAGAAACTAGCAGAAGCTACTATTGGAAGGGTGCAAACCTGACAAAAGATGTATTGATTTCCGCAAGGATTGTAATTTTGATGGAGCCTTAGATAATGCTCATGACTGAAATGTTGTATTGTCTCCTTATCAATCCTCACGAATGGCTTGATATCTTCTTCGGGTTCTTTAGGCACTCCTTCAAGATCTTTGCCATCCCATACGTCTTCCCTGGTTGCACATTTAGAATGGACAGCATAATGGCACCCATCAGTGCAAGAGTATTGCCCATAATTGATGTCAACGGTTTGGCGACAAACTCCGCAAGAGAAATCACCAGGTGGAAGGAAGGAAGAGTACGAGAGACGGTGTTGGTGACGGGTGATCTTAATGAGACGAGGCAAGTAGATACATGTTTTGTGGACAATGTAGTTACAAGGGAGACAAGTGTAGACGAGATCCTCGAGGTCATCAAGAGATTTCCCACATGCATTACATGGCAAAGTGAATCCTCCAGGAAAGAGGGTGAGGGTGTGATCATGGCTCTTTGGATGCGCAATAGTAAAATTTAGTGGATCTTTCGTACAGGAGGCGTTTATACTATAATTACACATAGAACAGTGATAGTAGGGGTCACCAGTACGAAGAGGACGCCGACAACAATTGCATATTCTGTAACTTCCTTTGGCAATATCATCATTCAGCCATGAATAATGGTTTATAGAGAGGGTGAGAGGGTGGGAAAGGTGGAAAGGGTGCCTGATCTCTGGCTTATAGTAGCGACAACCATAATGGTAACCAGAGTTGCAGATCTCGCAGTAGAAAATAATAGTAGGAGCAGATTCGCCGCCTTTGCATGTGAAGCAGACAAAGAGTGGATTGCTATCTTGGAGGATAAGATTGTGACCAGCTTTACTACATTCAGACTGAGAACCATAATAAAATGGCACTGGTTCCATATGGTTTCTTTAGAATTGAATGAACAAGGAAAAGAGTTTAAGTAAAAGGTTTCAAATCTTTAGGCTCCCCGAGTGTATCTGTATTATTTATCACCGCAGCTGGTTAACGACAAATTCCATTATTAACTTCGACTACTGATTTTAGCAG